CTCCAGTCCTGATCCCCTTGCTCTAAATACCACAGTAAATACTGAGCTAGAGAAAGTCCATCTTTGGCTAACTGCCAACAAACTCACCCTTAACATTGACAAAACGTTTTATATTCTGTTTGGCAATAAATCCTCTAATCAGATAAATCTCAAAATAAACAATACCCAAATTTGTAACAAATTAGATGGCAAATTCCTTGGCGTTCTCATCGACCACAAGCTGAATTTCCAGGGTCACATTCTAAATATATCAAAAAAAGTTTCAAAAACTGTTGGCATTCTTTCTAAGATCAGATATTATGTACCCCGCCCTGCCCTGGTTACTCTCTATTACTCCCTCATCTATCCATACCTCAACTATGGTATTTGTGCTTGGGGTTCTACTACCCAAAATCATTTACGTCCTCTCATTACCCAACACAAAGCTGCTATTAGGACAATAACCAACTCTGGCCCCAGACATCACTCGGTACCCTTACTCAAATCTCTGAATATGTTAGATATTAAGTCACTGCACATTCTCTCTTGTGTATTATACATATATAAAACGCTGAACTGTAATGCCAATCCTGACCTCAAAAGCTTCATTGAAGGTTGTAACAGAACCCATGAGCACCACACCAGGAATAAATACAGTTTTGATATTCCTAGAGTACGACTTAATCAAACTAGAAATGCTCTACAAATCAAGGGACCCAGAATGTGGAATGACCTTCCCAACCATGTTAAAGACTGTACCTCTCTCAACCAGTTTAAGATAAAAACTAAACAATACCTAATAAATTCCCTGTAACCCACCTCACTCCTTTATTGTCAACCCATGTCTGTTATTTTATTTTATTATTATTATTTTTTTTTTTTAATCAACACTGTTTGTCAACCTATTGTATTTGTGCTGCTTTTTCAGTCATGTTCCCCCTTTTTTTTATCTTTATTTGAATTTGTTTTCAACACTTTTTATTCTTTATGCTCAATTAGTATTAAGTTCTAGATATTAATGTTTTTCTTGCCCGAAACGCATTGCGTAATAGTGGCTTTAGGCATTGTATGTACTAGCTCTATCTATATATCAATCCATTAATGTAACATCACTTGTATGTATGTACCTTACCTGAATAAACATATTTATTTATTTATATTTATTTATTTTATTTATAATGACGTCGTCAGTAAATGAAATGATCAACTATATTTTATTCTTTAGAAAAAAGTATGATACTGCAAAACTTAAAAATATTTTAGTAACCTTTTATTCAAATGATGATCTCCTAACTACCAAAAAAATAGTGAAATCATGTAATAATGATGACAGGTGGCCACGTGAATTAGACGAATTTAATTATCCAGATATGGATCGTTACTATAAATGCTGGAAGTGGACGAAAGACGAACACATTACTTGTGTTTTTAAATGTCTTGATTACCTGGAAACTAAAGGTAGATTACCGAAACCTTCAATAGATTTGGCTAAATATCCCCAATATGAATTAACCACCCATATAACTGGTGCTAACTAAATTGTGCTAACTAAATTGTCGAGGCTTCAAGATAGTGTGGATCATTTACAAAATGTTGCCTTGCGACTAACGGAAGAAGTACGTAACTCTGAAGTGCAAAAAATGATAACTGAACTGGTTAAATCTACTATCGGCCAGAGTTCAGTCAGTCACTTAAGTTCCCTTTCTAATGTAAAGAAATATGTGAATTAATTGGTTGAGCATTATTACATTATTAAGATTCATCAATTTTTTTTATTTATACTTTTAGCATTTGCTCCCAACTTTAGAGTTATTTATTATAAGAATAATAAACAAATATTTTAGAATATAATCAATTCAGTAAAAAAGTTTTTCATGGAATCTGTTCTTATTTTCACATACAAAATATTACAATTATTGACTAATCCATTGCTTTGTGTCTCTTATACAATCCCCCCAAAAAATATGTCACCACTGTTTTGGACCTGTGAACGCATACAAAATGTATGAATAGTGATCGCTATCCAATTGGCCAATGTTCCTTATCTCAGAGTCTGTAGGGTGTTCGAAATAAAAGTTCAGTAGTTGTTTCATCTGCCACTGCTCTTTCCCACGATCTAATCATTAGATTCCGTTGAACTTCCTTGATTAAATGGTGTTTTAAAAAATGAGGAATATTACAGTTGGTGTATATTGCTCTACGTAAGCAGGCCACGGTCCAATATCCCATTCTAGTAGTATCCAAAAAGGAATTCACAAATTGATCGACGCACATTGCCTGCAAACTATTTGGGTTGTAGGTGTTTTTACATAGTAGTAATGATAATAAACCTTCGCCTCTATAATAAAATGACAGATTTCTTCCTTTTCTCCCGTTTGAATGAGGTCCATAAAGAGATGGGGATTTCGGGTTATGAAAAGTACGCTGTTTACGTTTTCTACATAAAATGATCCATATTCTTTCGCCACTATTCGAGCAATTAGTTCGCTCTTCGTCGAATTTAAATGATAAATTCGGTCAATGTTTCCTAGGTTAATACAACATATATCATCGCACTTTTTATCACCATCACTGAAAACTCGAAATATATAATCACGATCCCGCCCAAAACGAGATCTAAGTTCATAGATGGGGTTCCTCTAAATTATATCTTGACGAGGCTCGTTAAAAAAAGATCCATCATGTAAACAATAGGGTTTATGTTGAATCATCCTGTGACTAACGTAGTTAAGCCATTTTTTATTTTTAAACCATGCTTCGTAATCTCTCACATCTCGGGTTAATTCCCAACGTATATTTTTAAACATCAGGTACCTAAAATAATAATGCCGATTCAAATATTGTTTTATGGACATAAGCTTTTTCAGCACTGCCTTATCAACTTTGTTACATGGCGATGGAATCGATATTCCGTCTGCTCTCATCATCTCTCTCAGAGCTTCTCGTTCCTGTTTGGAAGCTTGTATCATCATCAGAAATGTGGAAGGATCTTTGGCGTAGGACCTATATCCCGCGATAGGCACTATTAAGTAATCCGGATCATGGGGGTACTTGAAATTATGTTCAGTGTTAAAGAAGATTTCCACAAACATATAGGAACAATAATTTTTTTCCTCCTCAACAACGACTCGCAGTATAAATTGCAATTGGGATGCTGCAGGATATCCTTCTTGAGTAGAACCCATCCATATTTTAATAGCATAAACATTTACAATTTTGAGGTCATATGATATTAATTTAATTATAAATGTGCTACTAGTGTTGGAAGCAGGTTTAGGATGAAAGAAATTTCTTTCATCCTAAACCTGCTTCCAACACTAGTAGCACTGTACTATGCCTTCCCTTCATATCTGAACTCAAAACTTTTACCAATACCTTTCGTCCTCTTGACATTAAACTCGCCTTTCGACAAACTAACACACTTCGTAGCAATCTAGTTCACACTGCTCCTCCTGCTTCTAATGCTGCTGGTGTCTACTCTATTTCCTGTTCATCTTGTCCTCTCCAATACTTTGGCGAAACTGGCCGTACACTGAATGACAGACTTAAAAAACACAAGAGAAGTGTTAAGTCTGCAGACACTAACAATGCTCTCTTCTGCCATGTGAGGGATTCTAATCATCCCATTGATTGGTCTTCCTCCAAAATAATCTTTCCTGCCTCTACTCTACACAGACGCCGTCTTGTAGAATCGGCTCTTATAAACAATGTGCCCAACATGAACTTGAGTCCTGGCTTTGTTGCTGTGGACTCTTCCCTTTCACTGTATATACTCAAATGCTCTAATCTTTCTAACAAACGTGACTTAACATAAGCTTTCCCCCTTCCATTTCTTTCTTTCTCTTTCCTTTTCTTTCTCTCTTCTCCCTTTTTCTGTTCATTGTCTTCTCCTACGCTCCCTTGCTATCCTCTTCTTATTCCTATTACTAACTCCTTCGGTGGTTATAATAGGAGCTGCCTCGTATGGGCCAATAGGCCTGCTGCAGTTCTCATTACTACTATCCCCTACACCTGACTTTCCTCCTCAGCTCTCTCTTGCCTATTTATTGCCTGCCCCTACCTCCTCATCACAATCGACTTGAGAATGGTCCAGGACGGACCGAAACGTCGTCGTCCCTTCAATTTCTAGTGTGTGGTTTGGTCAAAATGACTAGGAGATTAGAACCAAAGTTCACCAGATTATTACTGAAATCGGACAATGAGAGACAGTTATATTGCGTAGCCACCAAATTTGGAACAATTGACCAAAATCTGTCTAGAAATGACTTTGATAAAACCATTGAAAGAATAATGCCAAATAAAATTATTAAGACTCCATTACTTGGGCTACGCGAAATTGTATGGCTTTCTTAGCAATTGTCAATTAGTCAGATTTGTAAAAAAAAAATAATAATAATAATCTGTTGTCCTTTTGGTAAAATTTGGGTTGGGGTAGGATAATAAAATAAATTGATTTGTGGAAATAATATAATATAATATATTCAGTATCTCATTCTTTTACCTTTTTTAACCCCAATTATTTATTTAGAGTGACTAAAGAAAAACAACTACTACTATTTTCTGATTGAACTGTCCATTCATGCTTATTTTGTAAAAGCATTTTCTGGGGGAAATAAGCCACCACAATGCAGTTGTGGTCCAACAACATTCAGAAATCGGTTTCAAGGTTCTGCTATACAGGCATTCCTCATTTTTTTCTCCAGTCTGTGTGATTTTATCCATGATGGCTTCTGTAAAAAAAAAAAAAGGTAACTTCCGAATGGTCTGAACTACTTCTATCTTCCATTTAGTGTCTGTCACTTCGACATCTCAATACAATAAGAAAGACAATAAGAAAGACATTAATATATTCTCTACCGAATAAATTTTAACAGAGCATAGGAAATCACTAATTTAAAAAACTTTTATTCCCGAAAAAATAAATAACGTACAACTGAAATTAAGAGGATTAATTTCAGTCCATCCTAGACTAACTAGGTCAGACCTAAAACGTCATAATTTTCACTTATTAGTAAAGTTAATTACAAATACATACCTGTGCCTGTTGTTGTCTCCTGACCGAAGACAAGTTCCTCCACATTCTCCTGCTTCTCCCATTCCTCCCCTGACTTGGTGTCATTATCTCCATCTGAAGACCATGGCCATTTGATTTTGATGGAATCATGCTTCCTTAGTGCCTTTTCTTTCTTCTTTTTCTTTCTCTTTATGGCCTTATTTAGTACCAAGCCCTTCAGTTTGTCAATGAACCGGTCACTTTCGAATGAGTCTGATGACGACGATAAAGACGACAATGAGGAAGAAGATGAAGAAGATGACCTTGCTTTTACCGTTGATGCAACCAAACAAGACATATGCTCAAGTAAGACAGATGCAGCTTGGCCTCTTTCAGTTTGTTCTTTTGCTTCCCCAGAAGAGTTAGTAGTTATCTCGAAACCCTTCATCAGTTCAAAAACAAGGGGTGGGGGAGGATTGAGGGAGGAAAGAATGAACAACAATAAATTAAAATTACTATTATAATTGTGTTTTACTGTAGTATAATGAATAAAAAATCAATCTCTAAATGTCAATTTACCTGAAAGAGACAAATAATTACAAGTCAATCATTTTAGAGTATTTTTCACTATGCTCTCTTTATATGTTTCCAAATGGCTTAGGAAGTGGTATATTCTGACTTGTTCCTTCAGCTGAGATAGCTGGCTGTACCTGATCATTGCATACATAAGTAGTTAATGTAGGTACTATAACAATAAGAAATAGGGTGTGTGGTTTTTATGATTTGATTCATAAACTGAACTGGTAAGGAATTGATAATTGAAGCTTGTTATGTAATTCTTGCTGGACTAGATGACTGCATATGGATCAACAGTTATACTGGAATGACGCCCGCCACTACCCTGCTGAATGATAAACTGCTTAATTTCAGTTGACTGTATTGAACCTTACTTGACACCTGACACTGGAGCTGGAGAGAGAGCAAGGGGTTGTGACTCTTAAATAGGCAGAAATTCTCCTTTTATACCACCATCCCATCCCCCTCCCTCCACCATAGGTTGCTGAATCAATACAAGTTATTATAATTAATATTTTCTATATTTTTACTAATATAGGCCGATTACTAAATTCTAATTCTGATTATTTTGTTACATCATAAACACATAATTTAATGGATAAGTAGTATATAATCAAAGGCTGAATGTTTTCTTAAAATCTTTCTATGCTCTCTCTCTCTCTCCCTCTATTTTTGGAGTTGAGTTAATTTACCTACTCCCCGACCTGCTACTCCTTTTTTTTTATTTTTTTTTATTATTCAACCCCCCCCCAAAAAAAAAAATCCTTTTTATCATCCTTCTTTTCATCTAGCATTATTACATCCTCTTCTATTTCCTTTTCATCCTCCTTCTGTTCTTCTAGCACTATTGAACTAGTGTCATTTATTGGTTTAATATCCTCCTTCTTTACCTTCAACTGATGAACTGGTGTCATTTATTGGATTAATATCAACTTCCTCTTCCAATTGCTTTCCATCTGTTCCTCTCCTATTCATGAACTGTTTTCCTCTTTGATTCTTTTTCAGAGTCAATAATTCATTTTTTCGTCTGTCTTGGGTATTTAATTTTGATCGTTGTTTGGCATCTTTTTGTTTTGTCCCCGTATCTGTTGTTTTATATGTTTTTGATGTTTTTGTTGTTTCCTGTGATGAAACTGTTTTAAATATGATTTCATCGCCGATTACATTTATATACTTCTTTATTATTTGTGTTTCAATAAACCATTTCTTTTCTTGTTCAATATCATCACTGTTCAAAATTGTAAGTAATTTTAAATTGTTATCCTTGTTATCAATAGACACTATTTGGTTTTTGTAAATTTCATCGTCGTCAATGTTAATTTTTTCTCCAATCAGTGTTAAACCCTTAATATTATATATAATTGGAAAAACAGTGGGAGTTTTAATAGCTTTCTTTATATTTTGGGAGTTTAATAAAGCTGTTTTCATAGTATTGATGTCATATAGGTTTTGTGAAAAATGTAGGTTTAATTGAATAGAAGGCATAAGATTTTTATCGTTTATTACCGTAACAAGATTTTTATAGAACTGGGCGCAGAATATAAATTTAGAAATATGATTCGAAAGAGAATAGAATAATTGTTTCATATCATTTTGGGCCACACTATTCCTACAAAATATTTGTTTTACTTTAATCTGATCGAATGCTAATAACAAATACTTTTTTCGGCACTTCTCTGCTAGGTAAGCAACGAGTTCATTAATAATAGTTCTGATAATAGAGGTGAACTTTTCTACTAGAGTTTCATCATAGTCTGAAGAAACGTCAATTGTATTAATCATCGACAAATGTATTTTCGATTCTTTTAATTCAGAAGTCATGACTAACATTTTAGAATTAATTTCTTTATTTTTTTGTTTTAATATCGAATTTTCTGATTCCTGCATTTGTTGAATGGCTAATATTCCAGTAGTATCACCATATGACTTGCGATCACTTGCAAGATAATTACATAAAAGTGTTTTACATTTCGTACGCTAAAATCTTTTTTTAATTTCGTTCTGATAAATTGTATATATAATTGTAATAAAAGTATATACCTTTATAACTTCATAATTTGTTTCTTTTGTATATTTGTATAAATCCGCAAGTTGTTCTATTATATTTTCTTTAACTAAATCCGTAGATGCAAGTTGATCTACTAACATTTTAGCCAAATAATTTGGTTCTTGTAACTGACGGTTTAAAACACCATTTAAATCAACATAAGGCATTAATTCTTTTTTGTGTTTTTTTACTATTTCATTGGTAATATTAGTTTTGAAACTATTTAGTATTTGATTAAATAACCCTCTTTCTTCCTCATTAGTAAATAATATATTTGCTATATTTTCCGGTTGTAGATCATCATTATAATTACTACTGTTAATAATTTCATTTAACTTAACAATTCTATTTGTGTGTTCTTGCCGAATATAATTATTGTGTTCTGTATTAAAATGATCAATAATCTTTATTATTATTTCTTCAATTAGTTTATTTGTTTCACTTGAATAACTATTATTTATAAACAATATATTTGAAAAACATTTAGTTATATCATCATTTGATAATATAGATTTTTCTAAAAAAATATTAAATAATGTATTATTAAAAATATTTGTTGTGTTTATATTATTCAATAATTTATTATATTTATTTAGTATTTGGTCCTGAAGTTGTTTATAAGTTTCTTCTTCTTGTTGATGTTTCTCAAGTTCTTTTGTAAGAATCGAAAGTGATAATAACTCCTCCTCATATTGCCGTTGATGGGCTTGTTTTTGTTCCCCGAGTTGTTTCATATAGGTTTTTTCTAGTTCATGTTTTTCATAGTTACATTTCTCAAGTTCATTTTTGTAAGTTTCTTCTAGTTGATGTTTTTCATTAAGCCGCTTTAGATTAAAAAATTCTATTTGTTGTTGTTTTTCATTTATTTCTCGTTTACAAGTTTCAGTTATATCAATCTTTATTTTTTTATCACTTTCGCATTCGTTTAAAGAACTCTTTAACCCGGCAATATGTCTATAACTTTGAGTTAATTCTTCATTTATTCTATTTATTTTTTGTGTTTGTTCAGATAATTGTGTGGTACATAGTTGTAGTTTTTTATTGAGTTCAACATTTTTAGATTTTATTTCAGTATTATTTGAATTAGTTAAAATATTTAACTGTTCAATTTGATTACCTAATTCTGTTATTTGCTTGTCTTTTTCTGTTAGTTGTTTGTCTTTTTCTATATTTCTATTATCTAATTCTTTTATTTGTTTGTCTTTTTCCTCTATTTTACCTTCACATTTTTTTAATTTACCTAAATACAATACTTGGGTTTTCAATTCTTCTTCATATTTATTGTTTTCAATTTCTATTTTGTTTATCATATTTTTTTGTTTTTCTATTTCAGTTGTAAACTTGTCAACTTGTTTATTTAAGTTGATTATTTTGCATTCTTTTTCTGCTATCGCAGTCTCTAGGAAATTTTTTCCATATAACACTCATCATATTGTTTATTTAATAAAGGTATGGTTTCCTTTTGTTGATATTGACTTTTAATAAGAGGATATGTTTTAGTTATCAATTTTATGTATCGATCAGACAGATCAAATAAATGAAACAATTTATTTAGTAATATGATTGTTCTTGTTTCATCATCATCTTTAGCAGAAACATTGTTTAAATAAGTTTTTATATTTATACGTTCTCTTAAACCTGAGGTCCCATCCTCAGGGAAATGTACCATACTCAAGATCGTTTTAACAATTTCACTCATTTTTTATGGGGTGACAAAAAAATACCTATTTTGAAGTCCAATGTTAATTTTATCTTTTTGAAATGAAATGAAACAGTCCATCAACCAATGCACATTATATTGAATAGGACATTCAATGTTGATTTTTCAGTATTCAAAATAATTATTTCTTGGATAGTACCAACACATACACCACCAAGGTGATAGTTTCAACACCAAGTCTGTTCAATGATTTTCAACATTGAATACATGATACCATAATTTTACATTCTCTCGAATATTACATTTCTGGACTCATAATCGGGAACCATATCAGGGAGTCCTCCTGCTCTTCCTCCAGTTTCTTGTTCTTCTTCCGAGACTTCCACATAGATATTAAATTTAATGCTAGCAAAGGTTTCTGAGGAATTAATGTTCTTAGCCACCATTTTACATTCCACCTCATTATTACCATCTTGAAGTTCAAGTTTCATTACCACAAATGGTGGTAATGAATTTTCTTTAATTGGAAAATCATACTTAGAGAATCCCTGAATAAATATATCTTGACTTGCCGCATGCGTACATGATATCCACAATTTGTCCATGTCGAATTTTTTTCTTTTATTATGTGATTTGGCCCGTACTGGATTTATATGGTTCTGTAATGTAACATCTTGTATTTCACTTTGATCTGTATAAACATTAGGTTTCAAATCATGAATCTTCCAAGGAAATATTAAAATAATTGGATTTTTGGTATAATATCCCTTGTCATAACTAGAATTTTGCCATACATAATTTACGTTATATGAGACAATATTATTATATGAATATCTTTGGATTTTATTGTAATTTAAAAGGAAGCTATTAAAAGGCTTAATGATTGTATTCTCACTTTCGATTCTATTCTTAGGATTATACGAAATTGGTGGTTTAGGAATAATTACAAGACCTTTATAGGTATTTATATCTCTGATAAACGGGGAGAATAATGATTCCAACTTTGAGATGATTATATTAGATTCTTCAGAGGACTCTGTTGTTGTTGATGTTGTTGAACTGATGGTGGATGGTAATATTGTTTCTTGAAGTACTTCAGAGGACTCTGTTGTTGTTGTTGTTGAACTGATGGTGGATGGTAATATTGTTTCTTGAAGTACTTCAG